TCTTCCACATGTCGTTCACGATGCCGTCCTTAGCCGGGCTAGTGTTGCGAGTAAGAGACCCTAGAGCGCCCAAGAACTCAAGGAATAAAAAACACATGCACGTTCGCATCTTCTTGTGCCCGTCTCTCCTGTCACTCTCGCTCGTGCTCTGCAATACCTGCATACGATGTTCCTGTATACATCAGTTGTTGTCCGGGTCGAAATATCGTTCGTGGCAGGCAAATCCCTCCATGCAATATGGTTCGCCGTCCGGGCCGGGAGGTGGCTGAACTTGGGTACTTGCGGGACCGGCAGTTCCTCTGGTAGTCGAGGGGGAACTCGAACCCTAGCATTTTGTAGATTTTGGACTTGTTGACTCGCGTGGCGTCGTCTACGGTGGCGACGGAGGCGATTGTATGTTCGTCTCTCTTCTGGGCGTTTGACTCCCACCTTCGCGTGCGTCCGAATTGATGCCCTCAAGGCCCGTTCTTCTGAGGAGGCCTTCCGGAGATCCCGACTCCTCGAAGAAGTGGTTGAATATCAATATGGGATTGACGACGCTATCCTCCTCACCTGCTCCTCCCTCCCCCACTGTCAAAGCTGGGCCTCCAGGATAATCAGAAACACGAACCAATCGATTCAGACCAACACATCCCGATTGGAAAACTTCTTTTGCAGTCGAAGAAATCGGCTCCCACCCATTGTTGTCCGGCACGGCACCTTCGATGAGCGCGAAGTTCCTGGAAAACTGAACGTCCTAAAGCAACGTCTTGCGATCTGATTTCAAAGCTTTCCCAACCATTTTTCCCAACCATTTTTCCTGTGCGTCGCACTCAAATTGCGCATCCCAAGGAACCCCACAATAATCAATCTGCGATACGGTGCAGAATGCTGTCCAGGTCTGCGAGATTCAGAAAACGTGTTGGCCAGAACCACCCGTCGAGCAGCACACACATGGTGCAGCTTCCCTATTTAGTCGATCGAATGTGTTGCTTTTCGGAGGAGGAGGAGGAGGAGGAGGAGGAGCCAAATGGTCGTCGGCACAACCCGCCGTCCACCTGCGCAAAGTGCTCCCGATCGGCGCTTCCGCCCAAGACAGCTCCAACATGGAGCCACGCCCTGCCCGACATGGCCTCCGCCACGGCCCAGGGCGCCATCAAAACTGGCCGCGACGGCGCCTTGGAGGGCCCGAGGTTATGCCACAAGATTCGGGCGTTGCCAGAAGTACCCCTGGCCCAGGGCACCCCCAGCTTCCCGCTCCATTTCGGAGCCCCTGGGGCCCTCTGGGCCTCGTGAGGGGTGCCCTGGAGGCCGCCTGGGCCACCCCGAGAATCCTAGGGGTACCTTGGGCCAGGGGTACTTCTAGCAACACCCGAAAGATACATAGGTCCAGGAGGGCCTCCAGGAGGGCCTCGAACATGCGAACACCACCGCATTGCTTTCAGCGCCTGAACACCATCGTTCCCTCGCACATCCGAAGCCCCAAGGCGCCGAGGCGAGGCTCAGCGGCCCACGGGGAAGCTGCAGCGATGCCAGCCAAGCCCCACGGGAGGGCAACAGCAGTCCCAAAGACTGCCCTCAGAGGGCCCACGAGACCTCCAAAGCGGCTCGAGAGCGCCCCTCGTGGGCACCAAGGTGGCCCAGAGTGCAACTCACAGCCCAAGGCCTACCTCCCTGTGCCTACTGACGACAGATGGCCCATCGAGGCCAAGTTTAAGACAAGGCTCTAAGGAGCCCAATCCATACTATCCATGTTACGTAAAGCCGCGTTCCCTGGCGTAGCAGGTTACCTTTTCTCTGTTTTGCAGCCTAGCCATGCTGAATGGTCTCCCCAAGGTGCCCTGGAGAGCCCCAAGCCCTAGAGGCTTATTTTTAAGTGTTTCACACGTTTCCCAAGACGTTTCCTCCGAAACCGTCTTGGCTCAAGCTTTTTACAGCGACAACTGGTCACTGGACTCCTGGTGTGCGCCTGTGAGGCGCAAGACTGTGAGCTGGCCCGCCACAGCCAAACAGCTCCCTTCTTTCACCATCGCGCGAGCAGCCTCGCGCACCCCCACTGCCCGCACTCCCACAACATTGAGATCGAGAGTGACCAGCACATCGCCTGGAGAAGAGAGAAGAACAGTATCCAAGGATTCAGCAGAGGGCAGTGGCTCGAGGCGGGACCATTGAATGGTAGCGGAGCTTCCGAGCTCCACGGAAGCACAACATGACTAAGAACGTCGACGACGTTATTCCCAAGTGGATGGGGACCTCACCACGGTGGATGACTATGAGAGAGACGTGAAGGCCTAGATTCGTGGGACACGCCATGACAAGCGCTATGTATGTGGACCGAAACTCTGGCGAAAGCTAGAAGGTCGAGCTCGTCAAGCAGCCAAGGATATCGACTGGGACAAGCTCGAGGCTGACGACGGTGCAGATTTCCTGTTAAGACACATCAGGTCGAAGCTCGGAGCTCGAACGATTCAAGACGCTGGAAAGTATCTGGGGAGATGGATATTCGACCTGCGCAGAGACAACGGTGAGCCTGTGCCGAGCTACATCAGCAGGGACGACGAAGCGTACCACGACGTGGTCCAGGGTTTCGACACCAAGTAGTTCAAGCGCCAGAGGATGGAGCGGCTGTCGGTCCGGGCGGAGTGGAACTCTCTCTATCAACAGCTGAACTGGTTCCTCAACAAGATAATGTATGAGGGCCCAGACGATGCCGCAGATGAGGCCAAGAGACTCGACAATTGGCTGTGGAACTTCACGAAGACTGGCCTCGAGGAGATACCAGAACATCCGGACTTTGGCACGAACTTCCAGCAGGCGATCCCACTGGATCAACTACGCGGCTGGCTACTTCTACAGCTCTCGCGGCTAACGCCGACCGAGCGCACGGCGGTCATCGGCGCCGTCAAGGGGAACTTTGACTATGAGAGTATCGGCAAGCAGCTGCGAACATCGTGGCCAGACGAGCTGACGAACCGCGACAGGAAAGGGAAGGAGCACCAAGGCCGTCATCGAGACCGCGGACGAGTTCACGCTGGTTGGGAACAAGACGAAGGATAACAGGACGCTGAAGAACATATCTACTACGAACAACCCGAGACGTCGGTCGGCACCGAGAACGAGGACGACGACAACCCGGAGGAGCCGCTCTACAGTACAGCGCCGAGGAGATCGAGCAGGCAGAGCAGGCCTTCGCCGCTCAGCAACGCAGTTTTGAAGAAGCTCGAAATCTACTTCGACGTGCGAAGACAACCCGGAAGTTCGACCCCAGGGATGAGGAAAAGAAGAAAAGTCACCGCGACAAGCCTTGAAAGGGACGGCCGTCTGCGAAAAGCCCGAGGCCAAACGGATAGCCGCTCGACAAGGACAAGAGAACATCATCGATAGACCCGAAAACGAGGACAAGTCTCAGAGGACCCTGTCTGAAGCGTGGCGGCAGTCACGAGACGAAAAAGCACCAGCCGAGGAGCCAGCCCGACGACCGCGAGCGCGGACCGAAGAGGGGCTTCCCCTCGCTCGTGTTCTACAGCAGCCAGCGCCACGCCGAGACGGAAGCGACGATCATCAAGCACGACCTTGCCGTCGCTCGGACGTCCACTCCCTGTGCATGTTTCGGTTTCGTGCGTGGTTTTTTCGCCAAATGATCCAGGGTGCTCCTCGATGGTCCTCGCCGAAGGAAAAATGCACACGTCCGAGCGATGCCGAGGTTCTACAACAGCCAGCGCGACGCCGAGATGGAAGTGACAATCCTCAGGCACGACAGGTCGCTGCGCGAGCTGGAAGGCGCGCCGAGCAAGCCTGAGGCCCCGAAGCGCTACGACGAGAAACTCCCGATTCTGGCCGCGCTGGAAGAGACGAACGACTGGGTGCTGATGAGCGTGCTGGAGAGCGCCCGGAGGGGCTTCGGCATCCTGGACATCGCCGCTACATCCTCCATCATCGGGATCCAGGCTGCCGAGAAGCTGCGCGACCTGATCCACGGCGCGGCGGGCAAGAACATCAAGATGGACACCTCACAAAGACGACGTTCATCTTCGGCGACGGCAACTCCATGACCTGCACTGGCAAGGCTACGTTCCCACTGAACACTGCCGGTGTGGAGGGCGACCTGGAGACTAACATCTTGGACGCCAAATCTCCGTTGCTGATCGGGGTGGACGTGCTACGGCGGCTCGGAGCCGCGATCGACTGCGAGAAGAACGAGATCTACTTCAAGAAGCTCGGACGCCGAGCTCAACTAGATTCTCCCTTCCAAACGGCCATGTTACACTGCCTCTCGTGGCCGAAGCTGACTTCGGTTTCGTGGCGACCCTCGAATAGGAGGTCGCGCCCTCAACACTGATCGCTGCGCTGGTGCTGGAGGTTAAAACAGACAAAGGGCAGCCACCAAAACGTGAAGCCACACGAGACCCCCTACATATGAGCCTAAAGGCCCGGGAAGCCCAAGATGATTCTCCAGAAGCTCCCATGACGAGCCCACCTAAGACCGCTGCTTCGGGTGCGTCTTGGAGGCCTACATCACCGTCGTTAACGGGATCATCAAAATCATCAACGGGTCTCGGAAGATCACAAAAGGCGACTCTTGGAATTTCGGATACGGAAACCTCTAGTACGTCAGAAACGGCATCTCCGAGACCGATTTCGGCTACTCCCGGGAATACGATTACGGAAACCACTACCACTACGTTTACTTGAACACCTACTTCGCATGTCCTTGAGGCCGAGACACCTCCTCACGAGCTCCCAGAGATCCCAAGATTTCCTGGACTCTCAAGAGACTAAGATGCTCCTCCGTCCAAAGCCATGTTGGCAAGAGCCGAATCTTCGAGCCCAGAGCTCAGCGATTCTCATCAACTTCCATATCCGCATGAGCCTTAATCGCGAGGCGAAATGCCGCAAAGCGGAGACCCAGGAGGTCAGGGTCAAGGACGAGGAGATGAACGAGTGGGAGGCTCTTCCGATCGACCCATCCAGCCTTCCAGTGGACAGCAACCCAGGGGCGCCCGCGACTGCCTACCAGACAGCTCCGGGGGAAGTTTGTTCGCCACGCTGGGGTGGACGGGAAGAACTACCTGATCTTCGAGATCGAGGAGAACGCGACGAGGGACTCGGAGTTGTTCCTGGACGAGCACTTGCCGCGGTGGGAGATGTGGGCGATGGAGCTACATCAAGGCTGGACCTGCACGACGAGATGGGACAAGGTAATATGCATGGTCTTCCTGGAGACCATCGAGAAGCAGAACTGGAAACTGGGCGGAGCGGGCCCCCCCGCGCCGCTTTTCCCGACGAAGTTCCCGACCTGCAAGCCAGACGAGAAGCCCAGCGTCAAGAAGGAAACTATTCAGCTCCCAAGAAGGAGACTAAGAAAAAGACTGCAGTCGTCTCCCAGCAGAACAAGGAGCTTCGCGAAAGCATCGAGATCGCAAGGTCCGATTTCTTCACGAAGTACCAGGACGTAAGTGCCGTTGCGGGCATCGACGCGGAGGAGATCTCAAGGCTATTCAGCATGATGACGATCGCGAACCACCTCAAGCCGCTCTGCAAGCTCTACGAGCTGACACAGAATGGCAAGAAGGAGGAGATCTGCGACTGGCTGGTAGCCTACATCCTTCAGCAGCTGGGCGACGCCAAGCCGACGGTCAAGGTCAAGCAGGAGCAGGAGACGTCGATCAAAGGCAGGAGACCAAGCCCTACATCCTGGGCGGCACGGTCATGAACCACTTCGCACAGGGCTGCATGGCTCCAGAGTGTCGTGCCCAGCGCGGGATCGCCAAGAACGAGCCGATCATGAAGGTCAGCCCCTACGGCTGGTGCCACAAGATGTGCGCGGAGGTGATCACGCAGAAAGAGTGGGCGAAGTTCATGGGGAGCGGGTCCGTTGGAGCCCGGATGATAGCCGACTCCGCAAGGGGCCCCAGCGCCTAGCCATTAGGTCTGCGACGCACAGTTTCAAGACCACCTTGTTCGGAGCCAGACGCGCCCTCTCCACCTTCGGCCGCCTGACCACGGCTGAAGCCTGAGCACCTGAGGACTCCAACCTCGGCCAGATCTGCGAGCAGAAGGGTTTGGAGTTCGCGCGGCTCGGACTACATAACGACTTCGACCTCAGCAAGCCGCAGGGCCATCACAAGGCCAAGTGCATGCTCGACGAGAATATACCAGAACTACTTGTCAGCACTCCACCCTGCGGACCGTGGTCGGTCATTCAGAATGTCAACCAGCGCACCGACCAGCAGAAGGAGAACCTTCGGAAAAAAAGCGACTGAAGAGCCAGCGGATCTTCGAGAACAGCACGCGTCTCATCGAGCACCAGGTCAGCAACCTCAAGGGTTCGGTCATCGCCGAGTTGCCGCCTTACAGCCGCTCTTGGCAGAAGACCTGCTGGAAGGATCTACGCAAGCTGCTACCCTACGAGGTCATCGCGGACGGATGGGCCTGTGGACTACGAGCCCCCGATACCGGGGAGCCCATGAAGAAGCGCCGGAAGTTCCTCGCCATCAATAAGCACATCTGGGCAGCCCTTCAGCCACTTCAGTGTCGCGGAAGACACTATCATGAGGAGGTTGACGGAAGTGGCCGAACCGAAGCCTCAGGAAGATATCCGAAGTTGCTCTGCCGAAGAATCCCGAGGGCACTTGCGCGCAACGCTAACTTAAGCTATTTCGAAGAGGAGATCGCGAACTGCCACTACTTGGCAGCTGCCCAGCAGCCCCCCGCGGAGCCGACCCCGGAGGCGGCAGGGGAGCTGCTGCCACCTAAGAACGGGAAGGACTCCCTCGGCCTGACGAAGGAAGCGATCAAGAAGTTGGAGAGCTACGTGAGACTGGTCCACACCAGTCTGGGACACCTTCCGCGTGCAAAGATCACTCGCTAGCTCCGAGATCGAGGGCCCGACCTGAGGTATACTACGGGCCGCCCGCAACTTTGAGTGCGACAGCTGTGACGCTCACGGGCCCCCTGGGAAGCGGCCACCAGCATCATCAGAAGAGTTACCGCAGCATGCACCATCACCGCCAGTACCTACGAGACGGTTGTGACGGAAGACAAATCCGTGGACGTTGGAGGAGCCACAGGAGCCACTCATACCAGACGCACCGCCAGAGCCACCACCTGGACTCGAAAAACCTGCTGCAGGACCACCTGCAGAAGGTGCTGAAGTTCCAGCCGAAGCCGACGAGGAAGCGTTACAGATCGACCCGAAGGACGATGACATGGAGGCCCAGGCCTCGCGGAAGCCCTTCCCGGACGGCTCCGAAGCTGGAGAACTGGCGGTAGACGCTGAATCCAAAGAAATTCGATCAGGACTACCCCAAATGCGGACCGTGGACCCTGACGAGATGACAGAGCCTCCCGTCAAGAAGTCCAGAATCAGCGCCGCAGTTCAGGAGGACGTCTCCTACTATCTGCAGGACGGCAACTTCTACAGCGATTATGCCTACAGCACCCAGCAGTACGACGACACCAAGAAGGAGGACGAGCTGATCGCGTCGGAGATTCCAGTTAACAATGAGCACGCCTTCATGAACTGTTGAGGACCCGATCAACATCGTGGCTTCGCAGGTTCGCAAGTGTCGAGTGGAAGTTGCTTTCAAGAAGGTAGCGCCATAGCAAAAGAAGATGCTACTTGAGGCCTGGCAGAAAGAATGCCCCTCCACTCTCAGCACCAAGGCCGCAATCATCCTCAGCCGGAAATGCATGGACGCAGCGCGTCTTCTACGCTGCCGTTTTGTGCTCACCTGGAAGAAGTACGAACAAGGTAATGTGCTAAGAGGCAAAGCTCGACTTGTGGTACTCGGTTTCAGCGATCCTGATCTACTCCATCTACGTACAGAATCACCTGTCGCTTCTCGACGTGCTCGTCAGTCAGTTTCTATTAGTTCTGGTCGCCAGGCACAAGTGGCTACTGGAGAAGGCCGACGCAGTGACAGCCTTCCTCCAAGGAGAGACCGACGAGGAGAAGCGGAATATTCACGCCGACCCGCCCAAGGATGTTCGCCAGGCCTTCGGCATGAAGGAGGACGAAGTGCTGCAGTTCCTCACACGCATCTCGGTAGTGGTGGCTACATTTCAAGGAGGCTCTCAACAAGCTTAGGCTTGAGGCCATCCAGTGCGAGCCCTGCGTCTGGGTCATCAGGGGCGGCAACGGCAAGTCGATCGGCATGGTCATTCTACACGTAGGCGACATGATGATCGCCGCAGACAGCACTAACAAATCCTTCCTGCAGAAGCGGCAGGATATTCAACAAGCTTTCGAATGGACACCCTGGGAGAGCAAGGCTTTCGTTTAATGTGAGTCAGCATCCGCCAGAACGATGATTTCACGTGCAGCCTCGCCCGGGACACCTGCAGCGTGAACGTGGAGCCGATTCCAATCAAGCGCGGCAGGAAGCCTATAAGCGGAGTTTCCGATCGTGAACGCTCTGATCTACGGGGGCGGCTTGGCACCGTCGGCTGGAGAGCGCAGCAGTCAGCACCGTGGCTCAGCGCCGAAGTTTCTCTACTACAAACCGAGATTGCTACCGCGACGGTCTCCACGAGTCAGAAGATCAACGCGCCCATCCGCACCACAAACGACACCGCTGACGTCATCATGGTCATGCCTGAGATCGAGAAACTGGCAGTTGTTGGCTGGGGCGACACCGCATGGGCAGCCCGGATCACAAGAGAATCCCAAGGAGGCGAGATCATCGTGCTGGTACCGCTAGCGTTTCTAGAAGGATCCACAGAGACGGTGGCGCCGATCTCCTGGAGATCATGCAAGTTGCCACGCGTTGCTAGAAGCAGCACGAATGCCGAGGTGCAGATGATGACGGAGACGCTCGACGAATCAGCTACGTGCGGCTGTTCCTCTACGAGCTAGAGTGAGGCCACGTGGATTATACCAACAAGTAGGCCGTGAATGACGCCATCTCACCCTGTCCTGGAGTCCTGGTCACAGACGGGAAGTCTGGGTACGACGCCATCGAGAAGAGCGAGTCCGCTGGATTGGGTCTTCGAGATAAGAGGACCAATATCGAGTGCCTGGGCAGCAGGCAGCAAAAGCAGCAGACAGGGCTCCAGATTCGCTGGGTTCACAGCGATGCCATGCTAGCCGACGGTCTCACGAAGGACCGCGCGGCCAAGGCCCTACTGGAGTTCTTCAGAAGCAGACAGCGCTGGCGGCTAGTGGACGATCCTCTCCATCGGTCAGCACGCAAGCGCAAGTCCGAGGGCATCGATAGGCTAGATCACGGCACCTCCCTGGATCCCGACACCGCCCTGGAAGCCCTGTTGTACTTCTCACGCGACGGCGAGTCCCAGCAGGCTGGACCTGCCGGACATGAGGCCCTCTGGGGCCGGGTGAGTCCTACCACACGCTCTGTGCTTCCTGTGAACTCAGGAGGAAAGGCCAGGCCTCGATGCCGTAACATCAAACTTTAACTTTTGGGCATGCAATTCACAGCCCAGAGCCTACCTCCCTGTGCCTACTTCGGACAGATGGCCCATCGAGGCCAAAGTTTAGACAAGGCTCTAAGGAGCCCAATGCATACTATCCATATTCCGCGTTGCGTTGCCTTGCGTAGCAGGTTACCTTTTCTCTGTTTTGCAGCCTAGCCATGCTTAATGGTCTCCCCAAGGTGCCCTGGAGAGCCCCAAGCCCTAGAGGCTTATTTTTAAGTGTTTCACACGTTTCCCAAGACGTTTCCTCCGAAGCCGTCTTGGCTCAAGCTTTTTACAGCGACAACTGGTCGCTGGCCTCCTGGTGTGCGCCTGTGAGGCGCAAGACTGTGAGCTGGCCCGCAACAGCCAAACAGCTCCCTTCTCTCACCATCGCGCGAGCAGCCTTGCGCTCCCAGACTGCCCGCACTCCCACAACATTGAGATCGAGGGTGACCAGCACATCGTCAGGAGAAGAGAGGAGAGCGGTACCCAAGGATTCAGCAGAGGGCAGTGGTTCGAGGCGGGACCATTGCACAGAGAGGCTCCCGAGACAGCCTCTAGAGGCGCCCGACCGACGGCACCAGAATACCCATGGGCGGCCCAACGTGGCCTCCGAGAGACCCCACGGGACCGAACATGCCCCTCGGATGGCCCCGAAGAGATCCCAGGGGGGCGGCGAAGTGACCCCGACGAAGGCCCCAAGGAGCTTTCCCCCTCAAACGACTCGCTATCATTCACTCGGCGGTGGACAAATCTCCCTTTAGTACACCTCCCCTTAATGAAAACGTCCTGGGACCGAAACCGGCGGACCTGGACCCGCAAAAATGACGGCCGCGACGCCCTCCCGCGAACCGAAAACGGCCAATTCCTTAATCGACAGTGTCAGGGTAGGAGGTCTGTCCACCCCCGATTTCCCCCTCAAACGACTCGCCATCATTCACAAACCCGCCACTTCCCCCGTCTCCATCACCTTTTTACCGCCCGCCTCCCCAGCCCCCCGCCCCCATTCCAATCGCCACCCAGCTCCTCCAGATCCATCAGTACGACGCGAAAAAGTGCATGCCAGCGCCGCGCGTCCCAAAAAGACACAGCCCAGCAGGCGTTTCCTTCCCAGCTGGGTCGTATCTGCACCGGCGGGCTGGACAGGGCAAAATCTGGAGGCACTCGAATCGGCAGATATCTGACCGAATCGGATGGTGCATCGGATCGGGCTATATCGACACGCCCTCCTCCTCCTCCTCCTCCTCCTCCTCCTCCTCCTCCTCCTTCCACCTCCTCCTCCTCCTCCTCCTCCTCCACCTCCTCCTCCTCCTTCCATCTCCTCCTCCTCCTCCTCCACCTCCTCCACCTCCTCCTCCTCCCCCTCCTCCTCCTCCTCCTCCTCCTCCCCCTCCTCCACATAATCGCCAGAGGAGCAACGAAGCAGAAGCCTGATTTCTCAGAGGTCCGAGCAGATTTCTTGGATCGACCTTGGGCTCCAGGGCGGCGCCGAAGACGACACAAAAGGCTTCCGCCGCAGATCCAAGAAAATCCGCACAGTCCGCGCGGAACTCTGAAGGTTCCTGTTTGCCTCCTCCTCCTCCTCCTCGTCCTCCTCCTCCTCCTCCTCCTCCTCCTCCTTCTCTTCCTCCTCCTCGAGACCCTTTCTGGAGCGCGTCCGACGGGGCGGCCTTGATGGAGGACGCGCCCGCCTTGGCCAGGACCGATCCTGCGGGCCACGGATGGGTGACGACGTCGGGACCTTGCCCCCAGCCACCATCGATTCTCCCGAATCGATGGGAGGCGGGGGGATAGGGCTGGGATTCCGCCACGGGCTCGACAAACTCCGAACCCTGCATGAGACGAAGCCAGGCCGAGGACAAACTGGGGTGAGGATGCATCCAGGATCTCTGAGGTCCGGCGGCTCCAGCCCTCGTCTCCGTCCTAGCCCCGTCCGACTACCCCCGCCGCCCATCGAGCTACCCGAGTCGTTGGTCGGTGAGGGCAGGGGTTCGGATTCCGTCGCCGAGCGGAGGGGGGGGGGGGCATGGAGAGGGGCGGCCAGTGCACGGTCCGCGCGGGCACTGGGCGGCGGCAGCAGCTGCAGAGGAAGGGGGCTGCTAACTTCAAGGAGCCCAGGGAGACAAACAAATCGACAAGCAATCGACAAACAAATCGACACGCTTCCTGGACCTCCCTCTCCCCCATACATGTCCCACATGTTCCCATATTTCCCGAAGTCAGCGTCTGTGAATGTCGGTGCCTTTTTTTCCTTTTCTGCTTGCTGCAGCCACCGTGCTGCGAATTTCGGCTCAAAGGCACAGCTCACCACACTGCTAGCCGTAAGTCGGGCGTGTCCCCCTACAGAGGGCTTTTAGACGAAAAATTAAAAATAAGCCGAAAATGCTCCAAAATTCTCAAAAAATATTGAAAAATAGTCCCCAAATCCCCCGGCGACCCACACGCGACCCACCGGCGACCCACCAGCGACCCACCCGCGACCCACCCGCGACCCAGCCCGCGACCCACCCGCGACCCACCGCGACCCACCCGCGACAGACCTGCGACCCACCCCGTGACCCACCCAGCATTTTCGGCGCCTGAGGCGGGTTTCTTGTGCATCCGTTCCAGGTGGAGAACCTGCGACCCACCCGCGACCCAAACCGCGCCCGCGACCCACCCGCGACCCACCGCGACCCACCCGCGACCCACCTGCGACCCACCCCGCGACCCACCCAAAATTTTCGGCGCCTGTGGCGGGTTTCTTTTGCATTCGTTCGAGGTGGAGAACCTGCGACCCACCCGCGACCAAAAAAGCGTCCAGTGTGCAAATCAAAATTTTCGGCGCCTGCGGCGGGCTGTTTTGAAATTCCTCCCAGGTGGAGGTGGAGAGCCCGCGACCCACCCGCGACCCAAACTACGTTCACTGAACAAGCCAAAACCTCGGCGCCTGCGGCGGGTTTCTTTTGCATTCGTTCCAAGTGGAGAACCTGCGACCCAAACCGCGCTCAGTGTGCAGATCAAAAATTTTCGGCGCCTGCGGCGGGCTGTTTTGGAATTCCTCTCAGGTGGAGGTGGAGAGCCCGCGACCCACCCGCGACCCAAACTACGTTCAAGCCAACCTCGGCGCCTGCGGCAGGTTTCTTTTGCATTCGTTCCAGGTGGAGCACCTGCGTCCCAAACCGCGTTCAGTGTGCAAATCAATTTTTTCGGCGCCTGCGGCGGGCTGTTTTGGAATTCCTCTCAGGTGGAGGTGGAGAGCCCGCGACCCACCCGCGACCCAAACTACGTTCACTGAATAAGCCAAAAAAACGGTGCCTGCGGCGGGCTGTTCCGGGTGGCCCACCAGCGACCCCCCCCGCGCAGAACTTGTCAGAGCATGCAAACCACGAGAAATAGGAGGAGGAGGAGGAGGAGGAGGAGGAGGAGGAGCAGGAGGAGGAAAAGGAGGAGGAGGGCGCCATCGACAGGAAAGGTGAAGGCCACGAGGTCCGCCGGCTCGACGCCCGCATCGCCCGCGCCCGCCCCCTCACTCTTACCCGCAATTGCGGGATGCTGCGTTATGATTCGTATCCCTCCTCCTCCTCCTCCTCCTCCTCCTCCTCCTCCTCCTCCTCCTCCTCCTCCTCCTCCTCCTCCTCCTCCTCCCCCCCATCCCCCTCGCTGCGAGAAAAAGCAGTCCTTTGGTGGCCATCTGCGGCGGGCGGGGCAGCACCGGCTCCCCCGCAGGCGAGGCCCGCGGCCTGGCGCCCGCCTCCCGGCTACTCCTCCGCCGGCCCCTCCGCCCGCCTCCCGGGGCCCGTCGGGACGTCGGGAGCGTCTGCACGTCTGCACGATGCATCCATCGGCGACGCGCCGGCGGATGCATCGCCGACGTCGGCGATGCACCGGCGACGTCGGCGTGAAGCGAGTCGGGCTGCACGTCGAGCCGCATCGGCGATGCATCGGCGATGCGGCGCGATCCTCCCCATCCATCGGGGGCGGCCAAGAGAGGGGTGTCCAAGAGGGGGGGGTGCAAATCATGACCAGCGGCACGTGCGCGGCCCAGGTTGGGGGGCCAGGGGCGTAATAAAATAAGCAGAGGCGCCATGAAATCTGGGGAAATGTCATGGCCCACGCCATGATATCCACCCCCCCCTGTCATCACCCCCCTCTTTGCCGCCCCCGAGTGCTCCACTCCCGGCCCCCTTCGTGGCTGGGCGGCCCCAGGATGGCTCCAAGATGGGGTCCTGAGGGATGGGGGCCTGAGGGCAGGAAGGGCTCCAAGCTTGGATGTTTACCCGGCTTGGGACACCTCGTCCTGAGGGCCCCATCTCAGGACCCCGTCCCCGACCCGCCGAATTCGGCGCCCCGACACAGAGCGAGACGGAGGTGTTCCTCGCTTCCTGCGCCCCAGACAAACATTGCTGGCGCGCACAAGGGGGAACGGGGGAGGGTGGAAGGCTTCTTAGAAGGGGGCTGCCTCTCAGAAGACGCCGGCCTTGCATCTGCAGGCAAGGCCCGCGCATTCCAAGAAGTCTCGCCCCCTCCCCTTACCCCTCTCTGCGCGTGGCCGCAAAGAACGAGGAGACGGAGGTTTTCCTCGCTTTCGGCCACTCGGGGTCCGTACCGGGCCTCGGGACCGTCGGAAAACAACTCGGGATGAAAAACTGATCCCAAGGAAGTGGTCGAAAGGTCGGGGGCCCGTGTCTCGAAAGCATCGAGACACCCGATGTCTGGCGTTGCCCTCGCCTGTCAAGAGCCAGCGGGAAGGAGACGGGTCCTGAGGGAAACGGGTCCTGGAAACCGGGGCACTCCCCAAGGCCAGCTTTTCATCCTGAGCCGTTCTCTGACGGTCCTGGGGCCCGGGGAGGGCCCCGGAAGCCAAAAACGGCGAAACAACTCTCAGGACCCGCTGCTCTGGGGTTGAGCAGGAGACCACCGTCCTGGCATTCATATAGACCTACCACGATATGATCTTGAGACACAAGACTGCTCCGAAAACAAGGGCACTGTTCTTAGAGGATAACGAGAGCATGCGAAAACAGCACCCCCTCAGACAGAAAGGCTCTGAGAACACTTCGTGCAGACTGCAGACGGAAATTATAACATTCCCTGGTTGGCCTACAGAGGCCTCCTAGATGGGGTCGGAGTGGATGGGGTCGGAGGATCGCGCCACATCGCCGACACATCGGCGATCCATCGCCGATGCATCGGCGATGCGGCGGCGATGCATCGTCGACGTCGGCGATGCACCGGCAACGTCGGCGTGAAGCGAATCGGGCTGCACATCGACCCGCATCGGCGATGCACCGGCGATGCGGCGCGATCCTCCGACCCCATCTACCCCGACCCCATCCAGAAGCCTGGAGCACGCGACGCCCAACCCGTGGCAAGCCTGTAGGCTCCGACTCTTCCTGCCTTCCCGCGTCCGTGGCCTCCGCAGGGGAGCACCGACACGGAGGAGGACGAGGAGGAGGAGGAGGAGGAGGAGGAGGAGGAGGAGGAGGAAGGATCAAGGGGCCCAAGGACACACAGATAAGATCAAGGAGGAAGGATCAAAGGGCCCAGGGAGGAGGAGGAAGGCTCAAGGAGCCTACAGGCAAGACGCCTCGCCAACGCCTGCTCAAGACCGGCTTCCTACGCGGCGCCGGCCGAGAGCCCGCGCGCACCTGAGCACTGCGGGCCCGGCATGAAGTTGGGCCGGTCCCCCTACAGGGGGATTTTCTACCCCCCCCAAAAAATACCCCAAGAATAACCAAAAAATAATCCAAACATAGTCTGGTGACTATTTCCCTACCTAGGCTCTGCCTAGAGGGTTCTTACTCTCTTAGCTTAAAAGGGGCCGGGCAGTGCTACACGCCCCGGGCGGTTCCCCCGGTCCCCGCCCCGCGGTTCCCCCAGTCGCGCCCCCTTAGCTTGGCTTAGCTTATCTCGTCTTAGCTTAGCTTGGCTTAGCTTAGCTTGGCTTAGCTTAGCTTAGCTTAGCTTAGCTTAGCTTGGCTTAGCTTAGCGTCGCTTAGCTTAGCCTAGCTTAGCTTAGCCTAATGTAGCTTAGCTTAGCGTAGCATAGCTAAGCATGGCATAGCATAGCACAGCATACCATAACATAGCACAGTATTGCATAGCATAGCTTAGCATAGCTTAGCATAGCGCCCCCTTGGCTTGGCTTATAGTTAGCTTAGCTTTAGCTTAGATTTAGCTTAGCTTCCAGTTTAGTTTTAGCTTATATTTAGCTTAGCTTTAGCTTAGAGTTAGCTTAGATTTAGCTTAGCTTTAGCTTAGTTTTAGCTTAGCTTTAGCTTAGATGTTGCTTACGTTTAGCTTAGCGTTAGCTTAGCTTCAGTTTAGCGTTAGCTCAGCGTTGTCTTAATGTTAGCTTAGACTTAGCTTAGCTTTAGCTTACATGCAGCTTACCTGCAGCTTACCTGCAGCTTAACTTTAGCTTAGCTTTAGCTTAGCTTCAGTTTAGCTTTAGCTTAGCTTTAGCTTAGCTTTAGCTTTAGCTTAGCTTTAGCTTAGCGTTAGCTTAGCTTTACTGTTACTACCAGTGATGCTTTCCTAGGGGTTCCAACTCCTAGGTAGGGTCGCACTGGGATAATTTCTTTGTATTTCTGTACCTTTTCGGAATCTGTTTGGGGTATGTTTCATTTTTCGCCGAAAATCCCCCTGTAGGGGGACACGCCCGACATAAGCCTGGCAGAGGAAGGACTCTGCGGGGACCCTGGCGCACGAGCTTGGCCTTGGACCCGCCGGGCAGGGCCTGCATACACCAGTGAGCATACACTTGTTGGAGCGCCGGAAGTTCTCATATGTTCTGTGCAGACGCGGCCCCGATCGGATTGCCAAGGGATGCCGCTGCAGAGACTGGGCCGACACTCAAGACTAGCTTCGCTCAAACATTGTGCAACCTGGGGAAACCAAAATGTACCGATACAAACGAGGCAAGGGCGGTATGGGTACCTTGTCCTCCTCCGACAATCACGCAAACAAATTAGCAGGGACCGACCGTCCCGGCATTCCTATAGTCCTACCACGAAATGTTCTTAGAACCCACCTACATGTTCTCATACCAAAAGCAGCGTTCTAATAACAAAAACAAACAAAACATGTTCTTAGAACCCAGCCCGATGTGACAAGAACAAGGCAGCCCCAACCAGAAGTGTTCGAAAAACATCTCGTGGGAAGCGCAGAGGGTTCTTAGAACATCGTTTAGTAGGCCTATAGGCGAGCCACGACGCTTCGCCACTGCTTGAATTCTGTGTACTGCAGGTCCGTGCCGTGTCGACCCTGGCGTTGGTTCCTGACACCGCGCTGGATCGTTCAACCTTGAACGATCGGCCGTCTCCGCAACGTCCGATCGTTCAACATCGACCGATTCTGGGCCGCCGTCGGCGTTCAACGTTGAACGCCCGCGCTGGGGTCGCCGCTGGTCGACACGACTCAAACCTACCGTATAGGCGAGCCACGACGCTTCGCCACTGCTTGAATTCTGTGTATGTCTCTCTGATCTTCTTCGACGGCGGGCGCACTCCAGCTGCGCTTTGTCCAGGCTGGCCCCGCCCCTGCCCGCTGCGACGGACTCGCGTCGCGTGGACCCCGGCGCTGGTTCCTGACACCGCGGGGCTCCTCCTCCTCCTCCTCCTCCTCCTCCTCCTGCTCCTCTCTCCTCCTCCTCCTCTCTCCTCCTCCTCCTCTCTCCTTCTCTTCCTCCACCTCTTGGTCCTTCCTCGTCATTATGAGATTCCTCTTCCTCCTCCTCCTCCTCCTTCACAACGATCGGCCGTTGAGACAACGTCAGATCGCTCAACGTCGACCGAGGCTGGGTCGCGGGCGGCGTTCAACGTTGAACGTTGCGGGCGGGTTCCCGCCAGTCAACACGACGCGAACCTGCCGTTTCTTCGCAGTGCGTGATCGACCTTTGTCGGTGGCGCGCAAGCATGGATCAGCGATCCATGGATTTGGCGCGCGGTCGCCAAACCCATGGATCGGGGGAGGTGCCCTCCCCAAAATGCTGCCCGTGCCGCCTCGCTCGGCGGCGGAAATCCGTGATTCGCCATGGAAACAGGACCCGTCGCTAATCCACACCCCCTTGATCCAGGTTTGCGATCGCCTGACTTTTATCCTCACCCGATCGCGCCCAGACTGCTCCTCGTGCTTCACTCCCTGGGTAGTCGAAGCCAATCTGGCGCCAATCTGGCAGGCCCGATCTGGCAAACGGGGGCAATCTGGCGAGGGAGCCAACGCGAATCCAGTCTGGCGAATAACCCAAATCATCCAGCTTGGCCAGGCCAGATTGGCCCGTGGGGCCCAATCCAATCTGACAGTCTGGCCTTCGACTACCCAGACTCCGCGCTGCACCCTCACTCCGCGCTGCCCCGCTCCCCCTGGCATGCACGCGCTCGCCTCGCCTCGCCTCGGAGCGCGCAGGCTTCTGGCCCGGCCTGGCACCGTCGCACGGTGCCTCTGTACGGTATCACGCGCTGTGCAGTGCCGTGGTGTGCCCCGCTTGCCCTCCTTACGCGACGGTCCTCGTCGCGCAAGGAGGAGGAGGAGGAGGAGGAGGAGGAGGAGGTGCCCTTGGATACCCTTCCCTTCCTTTCCCTCATCTGCCCTTACCGCGCCCTACGGTAGCTGTTCATGCCATGCCCTGCCCCACTCCTACCCTGCCCTACCCCACCTCGCCCCACCATCACGCTCACACTGCACAACATGATCCGCACATTACAACACACCTATCTCAACTTTCTTGAGGCCCCATATA